ATTTTACGGCGAGAAGACCAAAAAATGAAGGACTCAAGCCGCAGTGTTGCAAAGGTACAGTGAAGCATGAGGGTGGGTCAAAAATGGCGTGGCGCTGTTTTTCTTTCTATGGATTTGGGCCTATCCATAAAATAAAGGAAGTTGTGGATCGGTTTGTTTACAAAGATGTGGTGGACATCACGTTGTTCCCTTACGCTGAGTAAAATATTCGGCTGATTTGGGTGTTTCAGCATGACAATGATCCCAAACTTGTATCAAAACTTGTCAAATATTTGTTGCGGGAGTCAAAAATTGATGTTTTTTTTATGGCCGGCACAATCACCTGACCTAAACTCCATAGAAAACCTTTGGAGTATCGTAGATAGGAAGATCAAGCGAGATTCGGAAATAAATAAGCACAACTTTTTCTAAAGAATTCGGGGTGCCTGGGAAAGCACACCCAAGGATCAAATTGAGCGTGTTATAGATTCAATGCCTCGTAGGTGTGCAGCTGCTATCAAAAATAATGGTTATGCTATCGACTACTAGCCAAAATTTAATTATTTTAAAATAAAAAATCAAAAGTTGCTTTAGTTTTGACCAAGCAAAAATTGGGTCATTTTAGTTTTCCACATATTATTTTTCGTTCAAAATTATTTTTGTATTTTTAATTTTAGTTTCTTAAAAGTGAATTAAACCCCTCATTTAAAACTGGAAAAATAATTACGATTTGTTTATTTTTGTAAAAGTTAAAGGACATTTATTGTCTTTGCGATTTAAGTTGCTTTAGTTTTGGCCACCAGTGTAAATCCCATATATATCGAAGAGTATAGTCTAAGAGATATCGCCTTTTATATCATACCTTAGCCATGTAATGAAACATACACTATCCTTTTCGTATCTTCTGTGCAACTTGTCGAAATGAATAAAAATTAATGTTGTAATTTCTAATTTTCTTGTAACGCCCACATTCTATTATTTATACCAATATTAGATGAAATGTAAGAATGGAATATATCGGTATGATATTTCTTCTGGAAAATATCGGTTTCCTCCTTATTATGCCTACCCCACGAAGGGGTATTGGAGGATATGAAATAAGTATAAATCTCATGTGAAAATGCTCTATATTTTTATCTAATCTTCCTTTTGAAGCTAACCCCAACGGTTGTTTTGAGAAATAATTTTCATTAACATTTGCCATTGGGTGGATCACTGGAGCGCAACTAATACATTCATGTTTTTGCATTTCATTATAAAAACGCCACTAAATGTCTTCCATTGTTATCCAAATAAAACATATGAAATGTGTTGGGAATATAACCCACGAATTGATGTTAATAGAGATAACATATTAAGCCATTCATTAAAATATTTTGTCAGAACTTTTTAATGTTTTTTTTTTTCATTCAGAATGTGAGCTTTATTTTGCTTTCCACCCTTAGTGACTCAACATCATCATAATCGTGAATCTGTCATTGAGTTTAGTTTCGAAATTTGGGGCAGTTTATCCCGCAAAGATCATAAAAAGCGGCATCTTAAGCAGTGAAGATGAAGTAGTCGTCGTTAATTGACTAAAATGTTTTTGGGGGGAATTTCTGGTTAACTCCTACCATTTTGATTTCATATTTATTATTTCTTTTGTCCCTCATCATTTTTTTATTAATAAACTATAAAATGATTGGGTTGGAAGTGTCAAAATATTGCTTTGTTATTTTTGGGAATTTTAAAGGATTAATTTTGCCCATATACGGTACTCGTAATAACACACATCATATTTTTGTTCACGTATTTTATGCATGATTGGGACTTATGAGTTGTTGAAATAGTAAAATTCATAGGCACATGAATATAAACATGACTTATCTTGAAATGTTTATGAGATTTAAGTTACTTGAAGATTTTGACTCTTTGTGAGAGAGGTACCCAAAGGAGACGTGCTATGTTTTGATCTCGAATTTGATTTTTCCAAATGATTTTTTTTTCAAGTAATGCTTAGCTATGGGGGAGGTAAAGGCTGACCTACATAACTCATTTTTCCAGTAGACCTAGTATTTGGAGAAATATGCAACAAGTGTGCCGTTTAAAAGAAGTCAGAATTTATATATCGGTGTGGAGATTTAAGAAATGCTTGCCAGACATTTTATTGACGACATAGGAGTGATTCAATTATGCGCTGTTCAGACTACATTGGGTATAATGTTCAAGTTCCTTAGTACAGTAAGCTAGTTTTTTGAGTCCGTAAGTTTATCTGTTCAAAATAAATATGACTATTAGCCAAACGAACTCTTATGGATAGACATATTTCGCAGTTGAATGAACTTTCTATGGCGAAGGGTATGATTTTTCAAATGTTTGACCCCCTAGGGAGTAGATTCCGAAAAATGGTTCAATATTGTCCATTTCGTATCGGACCTAAATAATTTCGCATTTTATAAGCTTCATGGATATTCCAAATTTTGACCTCAGCACCAAAGTGTCGATCACCTCAAGCAAGCGCTTCGCCGGGAATGGGCCAAAATACCACAGAGCAACATTCGGGCGGCGTGGGATATTCCAAATTTTGACCCTCAGTGTGAGAGGCACCAGAAGGAGTGGACCGACATACAGGGTGAGATGAAAAAACTTCAACCAAATTCAGACTGCTGTCAGTTCTAAGCCACTCGTCCGGCAGCTGTTAAAATTATTCCAGTGACAGCTCATTATATTGTTTACAAGCGAGAGAATTTTCCGCAAAAAAAAGTTATTCCTGATGGAATTCAAGCGTGATAGTGTGATTTGTTTATATTTGGCTGGAAAACCACAAGTGGCTATTGTTAGAGCACTCCAGCATTTAAATGTGAATAAATCTTTTGTGTCTCGTACCATAACTCGTTACCGTGCTACTGGTAGCGTAGCCCGACGTGTCAAGGAAGTGGGCGAAAAAAAACAGTACATCATCAGAAATGGTTCGATAAGTAAAGAAGTGACTTGATCGAAAACCTCGTCGCAGTGGCCGAAAAATGGCTAGTGAGCTGAACATATCGCAATATTCCATTCGACAAATATTGAAGAATGAGCTCGGGGTAAAGCCATTGAAATTCCAAAAAGTGCAAGAACTTACACCGCAACGGAAAGAAAATAGACTCAAAAGAGCTAAAGTGTTACTTCGCTTGCCCGAAAGTGGTGAACTGCCGAATTTGGTTTTCTCCGATGAGAAAACATTCGTTGTCCAGCAGTATGTAAACAAACACAATGATCGGGTTTACTTGCCAAAGAGGTCAGCTGAAAACGTGCACCTACGGTTGACTACCAGAAATCAAGCGCCGACCATGGTGATGGTGTGGGCCGCCATAACAGCCGATGGTCGCTCTCCGCTCGTAATAATAGACCGTGGCATCAGAATAAATGCCGAATATTAAAAATATTCTGGAGGGTAGGGCAGACGTTGGACATCCTAACAGGACTCAGCACAATCGCATTCAGCACGCGCCACCTAAGAATGGTTACAAAATGAGGTTCCCCGCTTCATTTCCAGCGCACAATGACCACCAAAATCTCCGGATACCAATCCGTTGGACTATTGTGTATGGAATTTTTTTTTATTTCAAAAGCAAGGTTGGCACTAAAAAATACCAAAGTGTCGATCACCTCAAGCAAGCGCTTCGCCGGGAATGGGCCAGAATACCACAGAGCAACATTCGGGCAGCGTGTGGCGTTTTCATTGGCCGTTTGAAGGGTATAATTCATGCCAAAGATGACCAATTTGAACGAATCTAATCTTATTCTGAAATGTAAGGTTATTTCCGACATTTTTTGCTTTCATCCAAAAAAAAACAAACAAAAAAAAAAAAAAAAAAAAAAAATAATGGCGTTTGACTTTTTTGCAGTTTTTATTCTTGTGTTAGTAGAAATAATGGGATGTGTGAAATATAAAGAGAACCGGATGCTATTTTCAAATTGTATAACCATGTTCGTTGTTCAAAACTCTGGCCCTTTGTGGGGGAGGTACCAGAAATAATGTCCGACCTCTACCACCTTTATAATAGATCTTATTTTGATGGAAATATTGAGATGTGCCAAGTCCGAATGGAATTGGATATTAGTTTCGCCTCTTTTTTTAAGCTTCATTCAAAATTTTGACCTTTTGTGGAGAGGTAGCAGACGGAGTGGACCCATATATTCCATCTTCACACCTGATCAGAGTTTAATAGAAATATTGTGTAATTGAAGTAATGTAATTTGGAGTGGACCGATATTACAGGGTTGCCCATATTCGACGGACCCATCTGGCAACGCCATAACATTTGACAGAGATGTCACATCGCTTAATGACATGCCGCGTTTGAAGCGTCAGTCCAAGCTGATTTTTGTCATGAACCAATACATTACACGCGAGCGCTCTGAAATAGTTGAAATTTACATTCAACAGAAGAAGTCAATTGTGAAAACTCAACGTGCTTTTAAAACATTAAAAAATGTGAGAAGTGCGCCTTCTAAGAATACCATTAGCGTTTATACGAAAAATTTTCGACTGGTAAGGCTCTTTCTAATCCGAAGAGGCCATATAGAAGTCGACCAAGGCGATCGGCCGAGAATATCGCTGCCGTACGAGCCAGTATTGAGAGGTCCCAAAGAACATCCCAAAAACGCCGTTCTCAGCAGTTGGGCATGGCTCGGTCCACTTTACAACGGATTATTCGCATTGATTTGCATTTGTTCCCGTACAAAATTCAATTGACGCAAAAAAAAAACATGGGTCCGTCGAATATGGGCAACCCTGTATCTATCTCCGGTCTCAATCTAAGTTTGATAATAATATTGTGATGTTGGCGAAGTCGGATATATATGGTACCATAATGAAGAGCAAATTTAGTTTTTTATTCTTTATGATTTTTCAAAATATTTTCCACTCGGTGGTGAGAGAGCAAATAAGAACTTCTTTCCCATACCATTTGAAATTTAAGTCAAAATATTTTATTCAAAAAAAAAAAAATTGATAAAAATTAATAAATTTATTTTTTTTTTTTTTCAATTTTCAGGACACAACTGTCAAACTGTTGTCTCCAGCATAATTTCTCGGCAGTTGAAACTACGCTTTTCAAAATGGCTGCCACAAGCGCTGGACTTCAAACACAGCCGCCGCAGCATCAGCAACAACAGCAGCAGCAGCAGTCGGCAACAAATGTAGTGCAACAAAAACTTAATGGCTCGAACACAAATTTACTACTAAATGGAGGTCTTGGTGGTGGCATAATGAGGAATACTCAAATCCCACAACAACAGCCGCCACAAATACACAACTTGCAACAACAGCAACAATTGATGCAACAGTATGCCATGAAACAGCAACAGCATGCAAACTTTCTGCAACATCAGCAGCAGCAGCCGCAACAGCAGTTGCATCATCAGCAACAGAGCAATCAAACGTTTTTAATGCAACAAACGCCGCCGCAGCAACAACAGCAGCAACAAATCTATCAAATATCCCAGCAGACGCAACAGCAACAACAAATGTTTCACTCGCAAAATAATCAATTTGCCAGCAACATGATGCCTTGTCAGAATTTTATGACACCGCCGCCACAATTGCATAGCCAACCAAATCGCTTTACCATGACCAATAACAGCAACAACTCAACTGCCAACAACACCATTAGCGTTAGCAGCAATACCATCACCTGGAGTCAGCAGTATCAAAATTTGCAAAATTCTCGCAAACAGCCGACAATTGTTGCAACCAATCATCACAAACAACCTCCGAGTCCAGCAACACAAATACGTCCCAGCAAACAGCCGCCTTATCAACAGCAGCAACAGCAACAAATGGCTACCAGCAATAATCACAGTACCAACCCAACAAACAATGGCACTGGCAGTCAATTGCAAATGTTGCAGCAACAACAAGAAGTTGTGCCCCCGGTCAATATGCAGCAACAGCAACAGCCACAACAACAACTGCGTCAAGAGGCTTTACAAAATATTGTTGCTGCTGTCGCACCGAAACCAGTGTTGCCAACCCAAACGCTAACACCCAAGTCCGAACCCAATGAAGTGCAAATAAATATTGTTGCAAGTGATAATACAAGACAAATCCAAGTGACTAGTGGTCCAATTGTTGCAAACAAAATAAATAACAACAACAACAACAACAGCAGTTGTGATTTGTCAAAGAACCTACCAAAAGAAACGACGCTCACTAATGGATTAACAGCAACAGCGCCAAATGAAAGTAGCCAATTAGACGCTAAACCCAATATTGCACCGGGTTGGCAAAGACAGTCCAACAACAACAATGAAATTGTTTATATAAGGTAAGTTTGAGAACTGTTTTTTTGGATTTTTCATATTTTTTGTCTTTTGCTGCAATCGTAAATGTGCTTTGTTAACTTTTACTAAATTGGATCGAAATATTAAAAAAAAAAAAAACAAGTAAGCAAAGGCTATAGTCGTGCGGGGCCGACTATGTTATACCCTACAACACTACAATATGTTAGAAGCCCCCTTATGTTTAAATCCATATTGGAAGATTTCGCTTTTGAAATTAGGATTTTGACTAGGGACATTTGCCCAATATTTATGCACTCCGTCGTGCTGTTAGTTGTTGTGGTCCATTTTACAGCCAAATATAATCCAATGGTCATCCAAAATGCTAGAATTCTTCCCTGTCCCTAACTCTCTTCAATTGTGTGATCGGAAAAACATCTCTGTTTTGGATTAATTTGAACCCCTAAATATTTTGCAATCATCTCCAAAAGCAAGAAGCTTCTCCGTACCTCCTAATTTAGACTGATCTATATAATTTGCTTGTCTACGATATTTGGCTATATTCGTCAACGAAATCAGCATAAAAAAGCCAGAAGTTCGCCTTTTGTGTATTTCAGATATCGCCTGTAAGTAATACTGGAATTTTATCACACAAAATTAGTGGTCTATTGTACCCGCTGTCCTAACCTCTAACTTTATGCGAGATTTCGTGTCCTTCGGTTTCTATTTGTGACCTTTATAACGGCTGCAAAATCAGGAACATTTTTAGTTGTTGGTCCATTTCAACCCCTAATATATTGCGGACATCTTTGAAAACAATAGGTCTAGCCCTTCTGAGGCCAACCCTACCCTTATGAAAATTTTCGTGAGGATCGGACGATATTTGCAATACTTATATAATATCCCCAACCTGTGTTGTAAGGTGAAAAAATATTTCAAAATATAAAAAATCAAATTGAAAAAATCGCATGCGATAAAAAATATGAAAAATTAAAAAAATGTCACAAAATACTACAAAATCTATATTAACTTCAATATTGATACCTTTTTATGCGATTTTTTAGATTTTATTCCTTTATGTCAAGAGGGCAATCTGAATTGACAAAATTTGTCAAAATCGGTCCAGCCATTCTTGAGATATAAGCATTCTAACTAACATCCTCTTCCTTTGTATATACACATTGTATATATTTCGCTATATATAACCTATATATTTACTATCGGTATCTACGTAACGGTCAGAATTGACCTATTCGTCTATTTGTGATTTCGCCGGGATTAAAAATATTCGCGATTTAATGGAATTTGACTTTTATTTAACACAAATGTTATTGTCTATTTCACCCACTAAAAATTATCCGATGACCATCAAAATTGGATGGCTTCTGCTCAGCCCTAAGCTCTAGCCCCATGCTAACTTCCGCTTTGATTGGTCTATAATTGCGACCTGTAGAGCCACTGCAAAATCAGGATTTTTTTCGGTTTTTTTCCATTTCAACCCCTAAATATTATGCGGTCAACTCCAAAAGAAATAGGGTTCTATTCTGACCCTAGCCCCACCTCCATTCTGAATTTCGTGAAGATCGGGCCATAATTGCGACCTGTAGAGTGATTACAAATTAACATGGACAGACGGACGGACGGACATACATAGCCAGATCGACTCAGCTCAACGAGATAGGAAGATCCATATATACTTTCCTATGTGGGAAACCAATATTTCGAGGTGTTACATAATTTTTGGCCCAATCAAACTTATAATACCCCCAACACATAGTGTTGTAGGGTATAAATACCTATATTATTCATAGGTTTAAGGAAGTGGATTCCGAAAAAAAGGAGTCCCCTGTAACATTTGAATTTACACATTAGGAGTTTGCTCGTTGGGAGTAGAATTTTTTTTTTAATTTTTTTAATTTTATGGAGATTTATATAACAAGCCATTTACGAGAGGATGGACCAATAACAGTTTATAACAAGTTGAAAAGTATCTGTCGGTTTTGCCGACAGCGTGTTTGGTCATTTAAAAATATAATTTTATGGTTCCAAAGGAGTGGGTCAATGTTGTCCCTTTCGTATCTGACCTATGTCTAATATAAATGTACCAGATCTGGGCTTTATCGACAACTTCGTTCACATTTACCTGAGAAATGTAATAATTTTTGGAAAATTGAGAAATGTTGAGTGTATTCCACTTCGTCTAATACAGAAAACAAATTTATTTCAAAGTTTATACGAATACCAGAAGGAGTTGCCTGATATATTTCACATTCACACCAAATTTTGTGTTGATAGAAATAGTGTGGTGTATAAAATTTCCAGAGAATCGAATGCTTATTTCGCAAATTATAAGAGGTATAATTATTCAAAATGTTAACTCTTTGTGGGGGTGGGGCCAAGAGGAGAGGACCAATACAGGGTTGCCCATATTCGACGGACCTTTGGACCCTTTGGGCCCATTCCAATCGACGAGACTTGTCCGCAGGCAACATTCTTTGCGTCAATTGAATTTTGTACGGAAACAAATGCAAATCAAATGTAAAGTGGACCGAGCCATGCCCAACTACTGAGAACGGCGTTTTTGGGATGTTCTTGGGGACCTCTCAACACTGGCTCGTACGGCAGCGATATTCTCGGCCGATCGCCTTGTTCGATTTTTATGTGGCCTCTTCGGATTAGAAAGAGCCTTACCAGTCGAAAATTTTTGATATAAACGCTTAATGGTGCACTTCTCACATTTTTTAATGTTTTAAAAGCACGTTGAGTTTTCACAATTGAATATTTCAGAGCGCTCGCGTGTATTGGTTCATGGTAAAAATCTGCTTGGACTGACGCTTCAAACGCGATATGTCATTAAGCGATGTGACATCTCTGTCAAAAGTTATTGCGTTGCCAGATGGGTCCGTCGAATATGGGCAACCCTGTATATTCCATCTTCACACCAAATCTTTTGTTAGCAGAAATACTATGAAATCCGAAAATTGGAGAGAATCGGAAGCTTTTTTAGTATTGTGTGAGGTGCATGTTGGAGTGGGCCGAACATGCCCATTTTCGCATCTGATCTAGAACTGAACATATATTGGGATTTGCAAAGTTTGAATAAAAATAGATTATCCTTTTGTGTTTTATACGGTAAATTATTTTCTCTGAAAGTGTTAAAGTTTTTGAGGGATTTTCCCAAATTTATAGTTCGAATTTCCAATAACCCTTTGATGCATCTACCTTGCACTCCATCAGTGACTCCCATTCCAAATTCCAGATTTCCAGCTCCATCAATTTATCATAATTTCAATTTGTACCAAATTTAGTACCATATATTACAGATAAGTACGAATTACCAAAACTTCAAACATAAGCCAATCCTTCACTCCAACAGTAATCTTAAAGTTCGAATTTCCAATAACCCTTTGGTGCATCTTCCTTGCACTCCATCAGTGACTCTCATTCCAAATTTCAGATTTCCAGCTCCATAGGTTTATCATAATTTCAATTTGTACCAAATTTAGTACCATATATTACAGATTAGTACGAATTACCTAAACTTCAAACATAACCCAATCCTACACTCCAACAGTAATCTTAAATCCAAATTTCAGGATTCGAGCGCTGTCGGTTAACCGAAATCAAAATTTTACCACATTTAGTACATTTTAGTATCATTTAATACACTTAAGTACAAATTTGAATAACTACCCGCATCGTACAGGGTGATATAAAAAAAACTTCAACAAAGTCAAACGGCATAATTTGCAAAAAATGTTTAGATTTGTTCGAATTGGTCACCTTTGGCACGAATTATGGCCTTCAAATGGTCAATGAAACCTTCACACGCCGCCCGAAACAATAGTCCAACGGATTGGTATCTGGAGATTTTGGTGGCCATTGTGCGCTGGAAATGAAGCGAGGAGTCTTATTTTGTAACCATTCTTGGGTGGCGTGTGCTGAGTGCAATGGTGCTGAGCCCTGTTGTCCAAGGTCTGCGGCCAAAATGTTTGCATGCCCAAGGCTTTAATACACCCTCCAGAATATTTTCGCCATATTATTCGGCATTTATTCTTATGCCACGGTCGATAAATACGAGCGGTGAGCGACCATCGGCTGTTATGGCGGCCCACACCATCATCATGGCTGGCGCTTGAGTTCTGGTGGCCAACGGAAGGTGCACATTTTCAGCTGACCTCTTTGACAAGTAAACACCATCATTTTGTTTGTTTACAAAGTGCTTGACAACGAATGTTTTCTCATCGGAGAACACCAAATTCGGCAGTTCACCACTTTCGGCCAAGCGAAGCAAGTTTTTAGCTCTTTTGAGTCTATTTTCTTTCTGTTGCGATGTAAGTTCTTGCACTTTTTGGAATTTCAAATGCTTTACGCCGAGCTAATTGTTCAATATTTGCGATTTGTTCAGCTCAGGGTTTCGATCAAGTCGCTTCTTTACCTTTCGAACCATTTCTGCTGATGTTGCTGTTTTCTTCCGTCCACTTCTTTGACGTCGGGCTACACTAACAGTATCACGGTAACGAGTGATGGTAAAAGGACACAAAAGATTTATTCACATTTAAATGCTGGAGTGCTCTAACTATAGCCACTTGTGGTTTTCAGCTAAATATAAATAAATCACACTATCACGCTTGAAATCCGTCACGAATAACTTTTTTTTTAGAAAGTTCTCACCAAAATGCTTTTGTACACTTGTAAACAATATAATAAGCTGTCACTGGAATAATTTTAACAGCTGTCGGACGAGTGGCTTAGAAATGGCAGAATTCTGAAATTGGTTGCAGTTTTGCCATCTCACCCTGTACTGCTGATTTGGTTGCACATTGGAACCGTACACTTCCAAATATCGGAAGTGGACTTACATAATACATTTTTTTGTGGGTGTTTAAACTACCTTCTGAATACTACAAATTGAGGCCGAAACTTCAAAATGCAATAAATCAGAAGGAATTAGACTAGCCACAGGGAAACCGAAATGTCGAATGAAGCATCCTAGGAACAATATCAGAGCGTGGACAAAATTTTAAAGTAAGAGCTTTAAAAGGGA